CCTCATTTAATGACAAGCCACTGTCAGTTTTACAGCTACAATCGAACACAACTCGAAGTTTCGTACTCGTGGAGTCTGGTCGTAGCACATACTGATGCAGTGTAAAATGTTTTATCTTATCCATATCAGCTTCTTCAACGATGCGTTGTAAGCGTCTCGTGTAGAGCGATCTCTACTCAACCTACGCTCTAGTGACAGCAACCGTCGTTTGGCAGCATTATAGGAACCACCCAAATCACTTACTGTTGTTTTAAATGGAATTTTCGTAATAAATCGGCCAGATGTATCTCTACGAATTGATTCACGGAAAATTTTCTCGCATTCCTCTTCTTCTTCGGTTAAAAAATTTGATTTAGTTGAAATCTGTTCTATTTTCCAGAATTTTTCAACCAATTGACTCAAGTTTTCATTCTCATTATGGTTGTGATTGACCAGCATATTATTTATTTTATGACTAGGCGCTAAACATTCTTCTGCTTTGCCTGCAACTATCCACCCTAGTATGGATTTCTGTAGGGTTGGCAACCTTTCATTAAGATAAATTCGTCCAATCGACAACAAATCGAAGAAAATTTCCGCACCAATTAAAATATCTATACGCGCTGGCTTATTGAACATTGGATCAGCCATTTGAATATTTTTTGGTAAATTCCAGTCCGCAACATCGACATAACGGTTAGGTTTGGAGCTTGTTATTTTCGGTAAAACATAAAATTGCAGACTGACTTCGAATTCATTTATTTTTGATTTGATGGTAGCCACAGTTTTTGTTTTAAAGCTAGTTACAACGTCTCCAACACAGCTAGCATCTAATTTACAAGACGTTTTTTTTAATAACAGTTTTTGAGCAACTTTCTCACACATCAAATTTACTTGAGAGCCAGAATCTAATATGGCTCGCATTTGGTGATATTTGCCAAACTTGTCCGCTACCATTACTACTGCTGTTGCCAAAAAAACCTCATTTTCAGTCATTACGTTCATAACTGATGACTGAGCTGTCTCCTGTGTTGACGTAGATGGCCCATTTTTGCATCTTTGTTCATTTGGCTCCAAGATATAATCTTTATGTAAAAGTTGATGATGAGATAAATTACATTTCGAGCATTTAACAGCAGAGCATTCTTTTTGAAGGTGTCCCCTTTTCAAACATATAAAACATACCTTTATTCTCCGTGCTACGATAAAGCGTTCTTTTAAAGAAAGCTTTCTAAACTTGCTACAATCTGCAATCTCGTGGCCACTGCCATTGCAGACTTCACATAAAGGTTTTGAAACTGCAAGAGAGGTTGAGTAGTTGCGGTTATTTCTATACTCTTTTTGATAGTTTAAAGCCTTTGAATTCACTTGATTAACTTTATGTTCTCTTGCCTCAAGGTTCTCACATCGCCTCGTCAAAACTGCTGAACATTCATTCCAAGTTGACAGCTTCCTGTAATCCACTGACTCTTCCCATTTGACCTGCGAATCTTCGTCCACTCTTTCCATCACCAAATGAATTAACATGGCATTCGCTATATCTTTGTAATCACCTAATGATAGCATTGCATTCAAATGTGCATTTGCTGCATTTAATACATTTCTTAAATGAACTGCAGATGGTTTTGTTAATTTTGGGACAGCAAAGAGGGCTGTAATATGTTCCTCGAACATCAACGCTTTTTATCGAAGCATTCCTTCAATCGATCGAGTGCTTTGGGGTAATTGTCCTCTGTGACATCAAAATCGTCAATAGCTGCCAGCGGCTTAGAGCCCAAGTGCTCTTTAAGTATCAAAAATCGTTCACAGTCATCAAGCATTTCATCCTGGTTGATTAATTTATTAAACAAGGCTATAAATTTCGGAAATTCGCTATACTTCCCTTCAAATTTCGGTAATTTTACTTCCCGATGACTTCTTGGGCCCGGCAATAACGATGTTGTATTCGTTGCATTGACATCTACCAGTGATAGCTTTCTTTTTTTTATAAACTCATTATTTTTGCTTTCGTGGTCGCTTGAAGAAGTATCTGCACCTTGGTTTAGTTTGTCGATATCTGCTTGCACACTCAGAAACTGTTTGAAGTAATTTTCTGTCAAACTAAGCCTGCAGTTAAGTTCTTCTGTTGACAAACTTGACCCTTTTTTCAAAATCATTGATTTTATGCGAGTGATGTTGCCTTTGGTGCTGCCTCTCAACGCCTTCAATTCCGCCATTTTCTTAGACCCTTTCTGCACGCCTTCTTGCTCCTCGTTGCTTTGTTCGTGAATTTTTGAGTCTAACATTTTGCAATTATATATATTTTTTTTTCTGGATCACTATCCCTTTTCTGGATCACTATCCCTTTTATGGATCATTATCCCTTTTATGGATCACTATCCCGGGTTTCGGCACCAATGTTTTGATAACTTTTCTTCACGACTACTTTATTATTTCTCAAAAAAACATGTCGCCTTTTCGCGTGTGCTTAAAGGCGACGACACAATACAAAAATGACAAATAAATTAAAGGCCATGATACAATAAATCTTAATTCTAAACAGGTGGTAATCTACATGAGTAGAATTCTGCTGATGTGCGATAGCATTAATTTTCTGTAATTTTTGGGCTGGTGAACGATTTGAGTTATTACCCTCATATTGCCGTTTCTGTATGTGATTGCCTGAGTAATTCTGTGGTTGTATCATATTTGGCAGTCTAAAATAGGATGTACCAGGGTCCACCTCCATAGATGTTGGTATGTTACCTTGGCGATTTAGTGTATTTTGTTGTGCTGCCTGAGATTCATTGTATCGAGAATTAACTTGTCTGTTAGGCCAATAATTTTTCTGATAGTTGGGGTGGGGGCTACGCTGAGCCACTTCCCGAAAATTCCTAACTCTAACATTTTTACCAACAGCAAACGCATTTGCAAAATCGTACCTTTGATGACTTTGTTCTAATTCCTGTGCGGTAGCAAGTGCTGTTGGAAGGTCTGAAGGGTGTGACGAAAACAAAATGTCACAAATTGGGCGTCGAAGACCCGAAATGAAGACACGAAGTGAATTTTCTCTTGCACGGTCATTAAGTGCAATAATCAAGTCACTATTGCTATTGTTTGTCATTATATTCTTATTTATTATTAAAGTTAATTGTTTATCCACTGCATCATAATATTCATTAATCGTCATGCGTCCTTGTCGTAGGACGCTCAGCTCATTTTCTAAGACATGCAGTGGACGCTTATCTGAATATGTTTGATCGAGCCTCGCTATTATTGCCTCAAAATTTAGTATCGTATTAAAGGCACTGAGGGCCGTATTTGCCGTACCTGCAATTTTATTTCTAAGAATCCCTATGGCCACATAATAGGATTCTGATCCTTCAGTATAATAACTCATGGCGAAATGTGCCGCCTCTCTCCATGCAGGATATTCTGCTGGATTACCTTTAAAAATTTGTAAAGACCTTACTAAGTCTAAATTTGTGTGTAAATTTGCTACACCTTCTCTAATTGTAGCCGGCATGAGCGGCTCTATTGTTGTAGGTTGAAGTGACCGAATTACATTTGTCAGATCGCTAATCTGCCTAGAAAATTCTTTTCTACCAAACTCATTACTTGATTCCTATCCATTATTAATTTTATTTAACAAATATTTTTGAAAAAATCAATAAGTGTTAAATATAACGTTAACACTTTGCGTGCACTATCTTACAAAGTTTTACTGAATGTAACGTTATTTTAAATATTTTAATATCTATTTTATTATAATTTTATTAACAAATTTTAGTATTTTAATATCTATTTATTATAATTTTATAATTTATTCTTTTTAGTATTAGGACTTATTAGAAATATAAATAAGCTTACATTAATCCAAAACCTTTTGCGTTGCTCATCTCAAGTTAATTCGTTGTTTTTCACAGTAAGTTGATCCCACGATGGCTACGCTCGGCGTGCGTGCAGTCTTCTTTTCACTTGATATTGTTTATTTTTTTTTACTTTAATAATTTTTTTATTGCACACTATGTTGCACTAAATTGTTATTTAATTATTAGATAGTTTTTGTTAATTAGTTTTAGTTTTTTTTTGTTTTTA